TAAAAACAAAGCAAAAACATAAGTTAAAAACAAAGCAAAAACACAAGGCATCCTCGAAGGGGACCAGAAGCTACAAAATGGTAGCATGCATTTAAGCCTACTGGCTCTGCTTTGGAAAGTGAGGAGGGTCTAGAGACTGCCTCCCACAAAGCTCTTCCAAGGTGCCAGTCAAGGCTACCATTTTCCCAGCAAGTATAGAGCTTCGATCTTGTTCAGTTCACTGCCTTCAGGGATGGCTATCCAGGGCAAATGCCCTGTGAGGGATAACCTGCTGGGTGTCACATTGCTGCATGACCTCCTACTTCACTCATTCATCTATCCAAGTTTTCAGAGTCCAGGAGAAAATATAAAAGTTATCTTGAGGAGCAGGAGAGTGGAATGGATGACTGTTTGGAATCTGACCCCTTGGATTTGTATCCTGGACACACAGTTTGTAATCTAAGGGAAACCACTTAAACTCTTTATGCCTCAATTTGCCTCTCTGTAATATAAGAATAGTAGGACCTGCGTCATGCAGTAGAGAACAATAGGACCTATCTTGTAACATTTTCTCATTTATGACACTAAAATGAGAAAATACATGTGTGGAAGGGACCTCTTTGCTATATACAGATATTTTATAATCACTTTACAATGTCATTTTGTTCCGTAGTCAAAAATAAAATAAATGTAATCTGATCCTATAAAGTCAATTCAAACTAGTAATTGTTTTAAAAAATTACTTCTTACTTAAAAACCTGGCTATAGTAAGTAGTTGACCAAATCCAAGTGTTACTGTTTTCAGTTAGGCTTCAGTTCAAATTGTATGGATTGGGTGATAAATCTCATTACCTCTCTTTCTACCCCATCTCCTGCACCTGTGTCTCCTCTCACTGGGCTGCAGATTGTCAGCAGGCCTGCTGCTAAAGAGAAAGGGGGATATACTTCAGGACCTAAAGCTTGTATCTGAGACCTGGAGGACCTGTAGCCGCTCCTCAGAGTGTTGGCTTTTGAGCTGGTCATGTCCAACTGCTGGCTCTCTTTATGTGTGGGATAGCTGAAGGTCTGAAAGTCCTTGGTGGCAGGTGACCTACAGGGTGCAATAACTTTTCCCACCTCACGCTGTGCTTTTGCCTTGCCTGGTTTCTAGCAGACTGAATTCACAAATGACTACCTTCAGTGGCTTTCGGAGCTCTAGGGGATCCCGGTCAATGCTCCTCTGAACTATAAAGGAAATTGAAGGACGAGGAGCAAAGAGGGAAATCTTTGCCCTCTAAAGAGCACGTTTTTCCCACTGTGTATTGCTGGCTCCGGAGACTAGATGTGTAGGTCCTGCTGTTCTGCAAACTCGGTAAGAATTCTGGCCCAGTGTTGTTGGTCCTAATTACTCCAAACCTCAAGGGAGCTATGTTTAAAATTACTTCATTTCCTATGCCCCTGGAGTAAAAAGGGGGAAAGGAACATTGTGCAGTACTCAGAATTCTGTCATCTAATGTACCAGAGCTTGATTCTTTCTCTTTCCTGGTTACTTTTACTTTTTTTTTTTTTTTTTTGAGGTGGAGTTTCACTCTTGTTACCCAGGCTGGAATGCAATGGTGCAATCTCGGCTCACCGCAACCTCTGCCTCCTGGGTTCAGGCAATTCTCCTGCCTCAGCCTCCTGAGTAGCTGGGATTACAGGCATGCACCACCATGCCCAGCTAATGTTTTGTAGTTTTAGTAGAGATGGGGTTTCACCATGTTGACTAGGATGGTCTTGATCTCTTGACCTCGTGATCCACCCGCCTCGGCCTCCCAAAGTGCTGGGATTACAGGCGTGAGCCACCTACTTTTACATTTCTTGACAGCAAAATACAGATCTAGCTCTGTCTCACTTGTCCCCGGTAGAGATGAGAAAACAAGCCCTGTGGTAGGACCCCCCTGACTCTATGTATTTTGGTATTTGGAGGCTCTGTTTCTAGCTAAATAGTAGTAATTCAAACACTTTTGTGTGTTCTTGGTTGGGTAGGTGGGGCAGCTGGTGGTCAAGGAAGCTGGGAAAGATTTATTTTACTGATATTCTCATGGGCATGTTACAATCTTGCATCACAAACTTGGTAAGCACACAATAATTGCAAGCAATTATTAGCCATTATATTGAAAATCTAAAAAAAATAAGGCTCTTGCCTAAGGTGCTCATAAATTCTCAGTTGTCATTAATACCAAATCTTTCAGTTTAGTCTCTTTCCATGGCAGGACACGTAGACATTACAAAGATAGGAATGTCCTTGTCTATTATATACCAATAAGGGTGCCAAATTTAGCAAACAAAAATACAGGACTCCCAGGTAAAATTAAAATTCTAATAAACAATGGATATTTGTTAAAGGATACGTATGTCCAATTCCGATTTATAATGTATGATGTTTTTAGTGTGTCCCAAATATTGCATGAGAGTCCTGCATTTTACCTGTCACACTCCACTCACTCTTTGAGATGGTTCCCTTTTCCCAAATGTGAAGGCTGTTCTTTGTTACCACATCCAACCAACACTATGCCTATCTTAGGCTAAACAACCACCTTTAAAAAAAAAAGGGTCAGTGATGAGTGGGAAGGGGGATGTGGAAAATCATTCATATTAGGCCTCTCACGTCCACCCATAGAATCAAAGTGAGTACTTTTTCAAAAAAGGGCTGAAATGGGAAAAGAATATCTGTGTTTCTGTGTCTGGGTATGTCTGGTTCTAAAGAATGTTCAGGCCGGGTGTGGTGGCTCATGCCTGTAATCCCAGCACTTTGGGAGGCCGAGGTGGGTGGATCACCTGAAGTCAGGAGTTCAAGGCCAGCCTGACCAACATAGAGAAACCTCATCTCTACTGAAAATACAAAATTAGCTGGGTGTGGTGGTGCATGCCTATAATCCCAGCTACTCGGGAAACTGAGGCAGGAGAATTGTTTGAACCTGGGAAGTGGAGGTTGCGTACCATTTCACTCCAACCTGGGCAACAAGAGTGAAACTCTTTCTCAAAAAAAAAAAAAAGTGTTTATATCTTGGAGACTTATTAAGTACAACCTCTGTTTATTTAGGAAGCCTAAGAAATGTGTCAACCTTTTGAAAGACTTCTAATTAAACTGCTGGAGCTTTGATGTCAGAATTTGAGATTATTGTTACATATTTTTAAAAGACCCAATTTCATGTACCAGTAATGAGAAAAAAATATGTTGGCCTTTACAGATAGTTATTGAATTTATTTTAAAATACAAATTATTACCACTTGATAAGCTGAATTTAGTGCATTAATCTCATTTTAGAAGATGTACTCTTACCTGGAAGGGGAATGGCTACCTTTCTGACTTTTCTTTTAACAGTGACCATCAATAGTATGGTTTTCGGCGTAAAATCAAGATTATATGTTACTCCGGCAGCTGCTGAATATTCAAAAGGCAATCAATGGTTTCAGATAGGTGTATTTTATGAGAGGTCAAGGAGAGAGAACCAGCATATGTTGAGTGTCTATTATGGGTTAGAGAATGTATGCTTCACATGTGTTTCTGATCTAACCAATAACATACAGAGGGTGATCGAGGTAAGTAATTTTCCTTAAGTCATAAAATTATGTGATTCTGAAAGTGCCTTATCTAATGTGACTCCTTTTTGATTTTCCTTACAGTCTTCACCTGCAGTTACTTTGCTTTTCAGGACTCTGAGCAAAAATCTCACACTTATTAACTTTACTTCCAACTCTGATAATCTACGTGGCAATTTCTTATATAGCCAACATTTTTAAAATTTCTTTTGATGGGGTTATTATAAGTTATTCCCGATGTTATTTTCAAAATACATTTTAAATAAAATGATATTTATTTGTGGATATCTAACACCTCACTGGTACTATATATTTAATTTTATGTTTAAGGTGTAAAGCATCTTGGAAATTAAAGATTTCAACCTCTAACCCAGTGAACATGTCACATGGAAAACGTAATTCTATTTTACCTTTTAGTGGTACAATGATCATGAGTTTTCAAGGCAATTTATTCAATAGAGAGCAGTTTGCAATGAAGTCTGTGTAGTGAGCTGGCATTGCCTCCCAGAAACTTTTCCTCACAAATTCTAGTTCTGCCTTCTAGGGTAAACATAAATAAAATTAAATCCTCTCCCTACCCAACCCAGGTCCATTTGCTAAACTGCTTAACTTCTCAGTACATTTATAGCCTGGAATTTTTACTATCTGATGCCCAAACAAAGAATATACATATTTTTTGGGACAGCGTCTTGCTCTGTTACCCAGGCTGGAGTGCAATGGTACGATTTTGGTTTACTGCAACTTCTGCCTCCCAGGTTCAAGTGATTCTCCTGCCTCAGCCTCCTGAGTAGCTGGAATTACAGGTTCATGCCACCATGCCTGGCTAATTTTTGTATTTTTGGTAGAGACAAGGTTTCATCATGTTGGCCACGTTGGTATTGAACTCCCGACCTCCTGATCTGCCCACCTTGACCTCCTGAAGTGCTGGGATTACAGGTGTGAGCCACCACACCCAGCAGAGAGGATAATATTAAAAATGGTTTTGAATCTTATTTCTACACAATAAGAAAAAACATACAAAAGTAGCAATTCATTACAGGGAAATTTAAGGGGTAATTCTGTATTTCCTTATATACGTATACACATATAGACATATACAAATATATACATGTATGTATTTGTGTATTTCCTGCTTAATGGTAATATATTAGGAACATAAAGCAGGAGCATAGTACCTCTATTCAGTTGTCTCGAGTAATTCTTCCTTTGATATGTAGGGGACTACAACTAGTAAATAAGTAGCCAACATTTTTATGTTGGGTTTAAGGCATCTTGCATCCATAAATTTCATAAATGCAATTCCATAAATGACATTGGAATTTTTTTTCTTCAGAAATAATCTTATGGAATGGTCAACGGTTTTCTTTGTAACACAAAGCACGTACAGCAGAGTATCACACAACTGTTAATACATCTGTTTTTATAATCACGTTGTGACTATCTCTCCCATTCCACAGATCATCTTTCGTAAGATCAGCGATGTGAAGAAGGAGGAGGAGGAGCGCCTCCGGCAGAAGAATGAGGTGACTCTCAGCATCCCTGTGGACCACCCGGTCAGAAAGCTCTTCCAGAAGTTCAAGCAGCAGAAGGAGCTGCGCAATCAGGGGTCAACACAGAGTGACCCCGAGAGGAACCAACTCCAGGTAGAAAGCCGCTCCTTACAGAATGGAGCCTCCATCACTGGCACCAGTGTGGTGACTGTGTCACAGATTACTCCCATTCAGACATCTCTGGCCTATGTGAAAACCAGCGAATCACTTAAGCAGAACAACCGCGATGCCATGGAACTCAAGCCCAATGGTGGTGCTGATCAAAAATGTCTCAAAGTCAACAGCCCAATAAGAATGAAGAATGGAAATGGGAAAGGGTGGCTGCGACTCAAGAATAATATGGGAGCCCATGAGGAGAAAAAGGAAGACTGGAATAATGTCACAAAAGCTGAGTCCATGGGGCTATTGTCCGAGGACCCCAAGAGCAGTGATTCAGAGAACAGTGTGACCAAAAACCCATTAAGGAAAACAGACTCTTGTGACAGTGGCATTACAAAAAGTGACCTTCGTTTGGATAAGGCTGGGGAGGCCCGAAGTCCACTAGAGCACAGTCCCATTCAGGCTGATGCCAAGCACCCCTTCTATCCCATCCCTGAGCAGGCCTTACAGACCACACTGCAGGAAGTCAAACATGAACTCAAAGAGGACATCCAGCTGCTCAGCTGCAGAATGACTGCTCTAGAGAAGCAGGTGGCAGAAATTTTAAAAATACTGTCAGAGAAAAGTGTCCCCCAGTCCTCATCACCCAAATCCCAAATGCCACTCCAAGTACCTCCCCAAATACCATGTCAGGATATTTTTAGTGTTTCAAGGCCTGAATCACCTGAATCTGACAAAGATGAAATTCACTTTTAATATATATACATATATATTTGTTAATATATTAAAAACAGTATATACATCTATATACATGTGTATATACCGTATATACATATATATATTTTCACTTGCTTTCAATATGATAACAACGTGGATTTTGATATGTAAATATTGCATGTCCAGCTGGATTCTGGCTTGCCAAAGAAGATGATTATTAAACACATAGATATTGCTTGTATATTATGCAGTTGACTGCATGCACACTTTACATTTGTTTATAATCTCTAATCTATAATAAAAGAGTATGATTTTTGTTACCCAAGGCAATGTAATATTTGAAGAATCAGGGTCCAACCTGCCAATGTTGCCGTGACAAATTTGATCTCAGGCTGAGTATGTATATCGAGCTATCATTTTCTCACTGTTCTGTTAAGTTAAAATTGTAGATTAATGCCAAGGAAGAGTTCAGTCTTTTAAACTATTAGTACCACGTTATGATCTCTTTGCATAGGATATTTTTCTGTAACTTAAGTGAGGTTCTTTTCCCCTGCAGGCATTGTTTGCTCCATTTAAATGACTGTTTTGTTGCCTAAGTCAGATAACAGTGTGGGATATTGAAAACTTTTTGCTATGGGTTTTGTGCATGAATTACATTTTTGCTCAACTATACCTCTCCTTTTTTAACATTATACTTAGATAGTAATCATTAGCTCTTCTGTAAGGAAATCCCTACTCCATCCTTCTTGGAGAACAGCTGCCATCTTGTAGGCTGACATTATCAACATCATAAATACTAAACTATTAATATAGTGTATGTTATTATAGAAGCACTGCACCACAGGGTATAAGGGCCTTTTGACAATTCATATAAGAGATGCTGAATTTCCAAAGCTGATGAATGCTCTAAATTTGTATTTCCAAAACATGTTCAAGAGTGACGTTGAAAGGTTTCTTAGCAAATAAACATACAAAAAAAAGTATTTAAGTAATCATATCAAAATGCTAACTATTGTGATATAAAATAAAAAAGAATGTAAACAGATAGATAAATTTTTGTGGCATATCTGTAACTTAGAAGAATGAAACACCGGTACAGATTGTTGACACATGAATCTTAGTGCTTGTAGTGATAACACATGAAATGTGGTAAGAAACAAACCAACCAAGTAGTAGATATTAAGTTGCTCGACTCAGATAACTGCTTTTCTATCATTTTATTGTGGTTACAGTTTTTGAAAGCTTTTTTTGCATGCAGTTCTACTGCTGGATTTCTCCTGAGTTGATTCAACAAACTATTGTGGCTCAGGCAGATCCACTTATGAAAGGGGGATACTAAAGACTGAATTGTAGTCTTTTGAATTCAAATCCTCTTTGTAGAAAGTGCCTATTATCAAGTTTTTCTAAAAAGTCACAAAGAGTTGTCCTGTATATAGCTAGTCCCTTAAATGATATGGATTGAGAATAAAATACACATTCACTTGTAAGAACCCATGAGAACTTATTTCTTTTGACTAAAGTATATTTTAGGAAGTTGTTCAGAGAAGCGTACTTTTCAGTCAGTGCATGCACAGCATTTAACATTGGGAGCAGGGGAGTTAGTGTTTGCATAAAGTTGAAAAAATATGCTAGTAGTTTATATATTACTGGACTACCTGTACATATATGTTAACAATATGCAAAAGTTGATGGCAAAATCGAAGGAGATATTTTGGTCTATTATACACATTTTTAGGCGCTTTTCTATCTCCCAGTATCCCCAACCAAAGCCACTAGAACTGAAAGACACATTATCACATTCAGACTCGCAAAGTGCAAAACAGTAATTTATAAAAACAGTTGCTATTTTAGAATTTCTATTGAACTTCACGTGCCCACAAGATGTGCCTCTAATTTAGGAGTCTCAAAACATATGTGCCATGGGCTACGTTTTCCTTTCTTTATGCATATAACTTCCACTAACCATAATAGAAGTTTTCAGGGGAGCACATTCTCCATGTAATGCTACAATATCTACCTACCACAAACACAACAAAATGAAATAATTATGGAGTAAGGTATCTGCCTTGAAATTGGGATTTTTTTGCTTTCATGGTAAGGATGATATCTTTTTCTCGACCTCTGACATTTATTGAATTTCAGGGTGTTTTTCTATTTGTTTAAGCCAAGTTTGGCTTAAACTTTTAAAGGTGAATGTGTGATTAAAATAAAAACCTGAGTACAGAGGTTGTTAGTTTAACTTTAGCTGCTACTTCAAAAATAACTGTTGGTATAAAGCTATAAAAGAATGACTGTGAACAGCATGATAATTTGAAGTTCTAATTCATGCCTTTACATATTAGTGATACAAATATTTACTGTGTTCTGACATTGATGTAGAGTTTCACCTAATCAACCGACAATATTATTGTTCCTATATGCAAGAAACATAATGGTTTTGAATTACTGCAGATTGTTAAGAAGGAGGGAAAGTACCAGTTGTTTGTTTATGGTGCAGTTATCGTAGTGTTTTTTCAGCCACCTCTGTTCTCTGTGTGCATGATATGATGAGGTGCTGAATTCACCCTGCTGTTTTCAGCAGGAATGTGTGTATTCAGCAAACATTGTATATAGAGTAGTCTTTTAGGTTCCCAGATTCCATAAATCTTAGCAGTTGAATTTACTCAGATTTGGATGAAGGTTGAACACTTGCTTTAATACATGCAATAATGATACAATCATGTTCCATGTTGCCTCAGCTAGCACATAGACAGTAGATGCTCTTTTGGGGACCAGATGACTGCATGTTTTATTCCTGTACTGTATAGAGGCTCTTGGTGCATCCAGAATAAAAATTTTAATATTTCTAAGTAATGTATTCATAGGAGTAAATGGATATGTATTTGAAATCCAAACATTTTCCAAAGCAATTTATGCACCTTCAATATTTTTCTATGATGTTATTAATAAGTAAGATCAGATGCCGTATCCTCAACAGGTGGTTGTAACATGATAGCAAAAGTCAAACGAGAATGGAAATGTGAGCAATGCATTATAATGGCAAGTTCTATCAGTCTGTATCAGGATATTGTTGCACTGAATGTGATCTAACAGATGGAAGAGCTTAAGATAAAAGGCAAATAGACACACAAAAGCTGGATGACAATACCAAAGCTACATGAATGGTACTTAAAATGGTTCAGGCATAGTGGTAAATACAGGCCCATATTTCATTGTTAAAATGGAAAAGTTTTATGACACTAGTTGCATCTCACATTAAGTATAGGACTAAAAATATCCTAAGTATTTATTACAAACAACTTTTTGCATAGCAGAGAAAAACAATTTGAAAATTTGGGGTTTGAAATTGCTCCTAGAACAAATGTGTACTTCTCTTGTACTCAATACTTTAATAGAAAAATTAGTTATGACCACCAACTACAGTACCATTATCAAAATTAACCTTATTGGAGCCCAAATGCAAATCGCATCTTCCCTTCTGTTTAAGGACATTTTGTTCAACCTGTGAGATCTGGTCCATTTTAAATAACTAAAGCCATTTGGAATTTTTTTTTTAAATATTAGTCTTCAGAGCGGTGACTGTTTTGAAGTATGCAGTGGCAGGTATTTGTGAAATTATTCATCATATTCCTAATTAATTCTACTATCTTGTATAATTTTTACCTTTTAAGCAATTTTCTCCGAGTTTATTTTCCAAAATTTCATGTAGGTAATGAGAACATTTATCTAGAATGTGCATATCACACATGGATAACTTCCAAATATTAATATTTTATAACCATGTTAATGTTGTACTAAAATTTTTCTATTAGGTTTAAAAGTAGTTCTCTTCTTAATGGAAAGGGAGGAAAGACAAAAACAGTTTTTTGGAAAACATCTTAAGATTAGTATCTGAGCTTTGTCTTGGATTCTGAATTTAGCTTTGCTACAAACTAGAAGTGTAATTATGGGCAAGTTCACTGTTTGTAGTGTACCGAATACTACCATTCCTCCACCAATAAATAAGAAAACAAAGATAACAGCTGTTGCCTTCTTATATCAAGACACCATTAGGTCAATGGAAAAAATTATCTTTCTTACAGGTGAAAATCACATTATGACAAATTATCACCTTTTCATTCTTTCATAGAAGAGTATCCATGATGTACTCTCTATCAAAATATTCTTCTAGATTTTAGAAGAGATTTCAGGGATTGATGGCGATGTGATTTCTATCTAAATATTCTTTTAGGCTTTAGAGATTTCTCTGGTCAGAGGTTGATTGAGGCATTATTTGCTAAATAATTATTAGTCAGTGGCATGTAAACATAAAACTTGATACTTATCTGGGAATTTAGAACTACAAATCAAATAAACATAGAGAGAATGAGGCTCCTCTGAGGGAAGAGAGAAAGAGGAGAAAGATAGGTAAATTTTATGATTTTTCTTAATTCCACTTATACTGCTTGGGAGAAATTCTCAGTATGCATATTGGTAAGCATCCAAGGTATAGAATAGTTCATTGATATATCTATGTAACAAAACTAAATGTATGCTCCTTAAATTTATACAAATAAAAACTAGAGTAGTTCATCCTTCAACTTTTTATATTAAAATAATCATGATATATGATTCCAAGTGGGCAGACACTCTTATAACAAAATTCTTAACTATATGCTATGTGTTATAAGTTTTGGTCTGTATTCTGACTTAAGATTTTCTATCACTTCATTTTTAGGTTAAGACCCATGTGTTTGCATTCTTTATGAGGGGCAGGGCCAGTGACGATTTGGACTTGGAACTAGGAAGATGATGAAGGTGAGGTCTGAGAAAAGACTGAGTAGAATCTATCTGCTTCCTTACTCTTAGGCTTAGACATTAAATAAGTCAACTAAGCTTATATTTATCAAGCGCTCACTATGATAAGCATTTTATTTAGGTTATCACATTTAATTCTTGCAACAATCCTATGAAGGTATAGGTTAAGGAACTTGTCCAGGATAGCAGTCAGACCTTAGGGAGAAAACTTTATTTCATAGAATACTGACATTACAAGAACTATCTAGTTCAACCATTTAGTCTAAGTTTTTCCAAACACATATTTTTAAATATTTCTTAAATAATTCTTAAAAATTTCAGTCTATAATGTGAATGTGAATGTAATTGTTTGGTTTTTCTTGGTGGGTCAGAGTCAATGACAGAGGTTGAAATCATACTGTCTTAAGCAAAAAGTGCTCTGTCCCAATAGTGGAGTTTTCATTAACTTCTCCCAACAGTTGAAAGACATCAGCCAAAGTAAACTGTCAAATCTGCTTATAAATAAGAAGCATGTTTGATGTATGGTCACTGGTATCAACATTTTCTTTTCCAGTTGAATTTTAACCTAAAGAGGTAGGTAATGCATAGTGGTTAAGGAAATTAAAAGTCACTCAGGATTTTTTTCTATAATTACTTTTTATTTTTAATAGTGGGATTTGGATGAGACTCAGGAATTTATTTTTGAAATTTATTTTTTGACCCATGGGTTTTAAGTAGATTATTCAGATATTTTTATTGATTGCTCTGATGTTGGCTTCTTGGCCAAACCACTATTAAATGCATTATCCAAATGAGCTATTTCTGTTTAGAATGGCAACTTGTGTTCTTATTTCCAAAATTAATGAGCTCATAGTATGTATATTTACTTCAGAGAGTTTCAATAACTTTCCCTGATGAAAAAACGTTAATTTTCCGAATGTGATTTGTTTTACCATTTGAGATTTCTAAAGCAAGTGTCTTGAGATAAGGAGAAAAAACAAGATACGACAACACTGCATGCAGGAATCTGCAGCCCAAACCATCTTGTTTTCACTTGGTTAGTAACTGAGCCGGAGGTAATCACAGAAAGGAACAATCCTACTTTTAACATAATGACTGTGAAGGACCCCACTGACACTATCCAAAGCTTTTTAGAGTCAGCTCACTTCCATCCTGGCTTTTACATTATCACTGCATGATTATTTAAATGAGGTCATGACTTGTGCTACTTGTAAAGTCCGTTGGTCAAAGAACAGTAGACCTGAAAGTGCAGCTTATGGCCAGAGTTATAACTGAGGAAATGGGAGTTTTCTGTGTGTGGTGCCTTTTAAATAGCTTTGTTTATTTGTTTTTCAAGATGACACATTTTCATTACCATTGTTAAGGTTTCAACAAAACCTTTGGAAGCAGTTTGAAAGCTTTTCAAATGTTGGGGCCTTTTGTAGAAAGAAGTGCTCTCCCACCAACCAATGAGTTTAGAACCTCTGGTTCTGGCCTACAAATGCAATCAATCCCTTAAGCACTTGGCTGGTTGGGCTGTATTTTGATGGGAGAAAGCCAAAAAGATCGGACCACTCTTTCTCAATCATGCAGAAGCACTGACTAGTGAATGACCAAAGCAGTCAAAGCGAAAATATTCACCTTGACACTTCAATAAACCAGACTGAGTATCCATAATAACTAATTTAAGTAATTTTATCTTCATTCCCTGCTAAATCATATTTCATATTATAAAATGTAAACTCTTCCCACTATGGTCAGACTCTCCCTTGAGTTAGAGAAATTGGACTTTGGCAAAAAGCAACATAAAGGTTACTGTTGTTCCCATTGTTGTCATGGACCCCTCATTTGCTCCTCAACTTTTTCAACGAAATTATGCTGAGAAAGATTCCTGATGAGGCCAAGACTGCAAACAGGAAGAATACCTAGCTAGTAAACTATGCAAAATCACAACAAAGATTCATTTTTAATTTCGTGTCAAAGTGTTTGATAGACCTAAGTATTTAATATTGGTATACTATGTCACAGCTATGAACTGTCAACTTTCACAAAGTCCAAATGCACTTTTATTTAACATCAAGATTATCTAACATATTTAATTTTTAGAAAAAATAGTGATCAGGGTTGCTTTTTTGACCTCTGCAGGGATGTTTTCACATTGCTATACAGATATTTTTTGAGACAGTTTCGCTCTTGTTGCCCAAGTTGGAGTGCGATGGCAGCCTCGGCTCACTGCAACCTCCACCTCCCAGGTTCAAGTGATTCTCCTGCCTCAGCCTCCAGAGTAGCTGGAATTACAGGTGTGTGCCACCACAACTGGCTAATTTTTTGTATTTTTAGTAGAAACAGGGTTTCACCGTGTTAGCCAGGCTGGTCTCGAAATCCCGACCTCAGGTGATCCGCACGTCTAGACCTCCCAACGTGCTGGGATTACAGGCGTGAGCCACCGCACCAGACTATTGCTATTCTTATGACCCTTTATCAGAGAGGGGATAAGTGTAGTGTTCACTTACATCTCCTTAGGGTTGACTGCACCGGCATCTTCCATCAAGCAGTCGCCTTCCACTTTAGAACCTGTTCACAGTTAGCAAGAGGGAATATGCATTTCATATTAGGAACAGATTTCCTAAGTGATATTAAATTAAAAGTGGAAACCAGTTTAGAACCATTTTTTCACCCTAAAACATCCATTGTAGTTTGTCGAAAGAGCAAAGACTTTTAGAAGTGCTTGGTACTCAAACAACACAAAATGTGCAGATTTATGATATATTGAAAACTATAGAGTTCTTTTTATTCTATGTTCTAGTGACTTTGTTTACACTAGTTGTGACATTTTGTATACTACAATGTAAATTCCTTACTATAACACTAATGTTACTATGGGAATTAATTTTGCAACTTCTTAAATGTTTTTGTCACTGCAGTCATATTAGTGAGAATTTGGGGGTATTAAAAATGCCTCTGCCTTTAAAGGTTAATTCACTGGAAATAATTGATTCATGCATTGACAAAGGAAACAATGCAAAAATTTCATGTGAGATGTTTTTAATACCATTATGCTAAGCAGTACTTGTTGGCTCTTTTCAAAATCTGATTCATGCTAAGCAGATCCTTTTTTCTACTTAAAGATACTGCAATGTATATTGTAGACATTTTGTATGTACTGTTGACTTATCACCTGATTGCTGACAGGCTGTGTGAAAATATTTTAACTTTGTGACTTTAGGGTCAATTATGAAATAATTGTGATCAAAATTCAACTGCTTCTGGGAAGTTTGTGGTGATTATCACTTTATTTAACGTTTGTTCTCAAGAAACAGTGATTTTGAAATGTAAATTGGCAGGTGGAAGCTTTTAGCTCAGAAGAATTCTGGGTTTCAGCACAATAAACTGTATTTCATCAGGGAGGATTAATTTTGTTTTTTTTCACACTTTATTTAAATGTGGATATTTTTTCATGATACAGAATAAAATGTGCATTTTATGGAACTTATTTGAATTTGGTCTTTGTTGGAAATTGCTATTTTGAATTTAGTTAAATAAGTGAAAAGCTCCCCAATATTAAAACACAAAGAAATAGGTTTAAAGGAAACAGTCTTTTGATATATTAGAATGCCAATGTTATTTTAAACTTTCATATTTGTCCTCTGATAAATTGTATAAATGATAAAATTAAAGTAGTATCATATCAGAAATTACAAGTTTAAGCTCCAGGAGTACATTTAGTTAAATTAGAATATTTCTCTGTACCATGAAAGATAGAGATAATGAGCAAATCCAAATAGGAATTTGGAGAAATCCTTAGTTTAAAGCGGGATTTAAAAAAATGTTTCTCTATCAATATTTCTAAAATTCTATTACTACCATAACATTATGAGTTTTTTTGGAGCAGTGACATTTAGAGACTAAAGGGCAGAATGTACATGGAATAAAAGTATACTTTTTCTCATTTAAAAAAATATAAATGGCTTTATCAAATTCCTATTAAAAAACAAGAGCTGAATATGTAACATACGATGTCTGTGACACATGAGAACTGCAGGGTTTTTTTTCCAACTAAAAAATAACAAGTTTTAGGAACACTTTTTGGAACATCACTGAAAAGTTATTCATACTTATGGCTATGTAAAATTACATTTTGATTACAGAGCAACCAAATAAAGCTTTGTCTTTTCTTTGGATATATTAGAATATAAGTAGAGGATTCTAGAGTTAGTTTTCAATTACATAGGAATCAAGGATA